TGCCACTCCATGTACACAGTGAGAGGGGAGAGCTGTGCTCTCTCTCAGCTGTCACAGGAGTTCATGAAACAATAAACAAATAAAACTAACCCTGCATTGCAGAACCTGGCCTTGGGGCGGCAGGGAGAGTAAATCCGGCCCTGGGTGTATTGGCTAGAGATGATGGATACTGCCACTTTAGGGATACAGTCTTATTCTGCAGCTTAATGGGAATTTAAAAAAATAAATAAAAGAATTTACTTACGTATGATTCCCTCTGTGCCATCTACATGCTTTGGTACATAGTATACCGATAGGTCAGTTTGCAAGATCTCATCAGCTGTTGCCCTTGCCACACCAGCAGCCAGGAAAGATGGGCAATTACTGCAAAGAGAAGACAGAAAAAGACGTTAGTCATACAAACCTAACCAGGATTTTTTCCCCCTCAATTCCTGGAACTAGAGGGCAAAGGAAAACTGTCAAGAATACAATTCCACAGTTATACACCATAATAAATTATATTACAGGTTAGCAGCCTGCTCGACTCTTCGCAGAAGATTGAGTTATGGTTTCTATTCCTGACTCTCCTTTTCCCTTTCCTTGAACATGCCAAAATCAGATCTCACCACAAAAGCATCGAGAGCCATCAGTAAAACTCAGATGGTCCTTGAAAGTCTGTATGCAAATCTAATTGTCAAACATATTAGCATTAGCTCATGCTTTACTGCTGACCTGTCTATTTGTTGACTGTTACAGGTTATTCAGTTTCAATAATTCGACTGACCCATGAAATATAACATTTTAAAGCTGTCAGCTAGATTATAGTCCAGATCTGTTAATGAAATCATTTTACCAAAATGGTCCTGCAAAATTGTTAACAACGGGTTGTTTTTTTGATAAAATTCTGTTTGGGCTCAACAACTATTCTTACCTTTTAAAAAAATTATCAGAAGAGTTACTGGGAAATACTGTAGATACGTACCTAACACCTTAAGATATGGACTACAATCTAAGGTTTAGTTTACTAGTTTGTATTGAGATTGTAGTCCATCAAGGGAGGGAAGTTGGAGTGGTGGCTACTTTACAACACACACAGGGACCACGTGGAACAAAAGTAGCCACCCTCCAGAAGGAAGGGCAGTGTCAGTATGAATTCAGAGATGAGTGATGCACACATAAGATACATTTTTGTAAATAGTTAAGGTGCTTGAATGCATTTTTCAGATTTAAGTCCTGAGTTTAGTGTCACTTTAACTACAGGTAACAATCATTCTTCAGTTATTGGTGAAGACTCTTGGTATAAGGGCACTCTGTCTTGACAATGTAATAAGCGTAATGTTAAATACTGGCCAATCTACTAATATGCTACAGCTTTGTATGAAAATCTCTAAAGCACTACCATAGTAACTAGGCATGATGATGTAATTATTCGAAACAAGGGAATGTGGTAAAGTTCCACACTCTAATTATCTTAGCAAACATTGACAAGCACACTTGAACATAACAGTGGTCCAGAAACGGAGATACAGGCTTTGACACCTCACTTCTCATCATTCCCAACCACGATCTGCAAAGGAAAGGGGCTTCTTATTTACAGCTCTTATCTCCCGGTCTCTGTACTTTCCAGATACAAGCGAGGTCACAGGAATGCAGAGGGAAGGAGCACTCCCCACATGAATCAGAACAGGAACCAGAATTTGAAGGAAACCTTGTTTTGTGTTAGTAAAGTACAGAAAAAGTGAGATAAGAGCTGTCAATAGAGAGGCCACCTCCTTTGCAAATCGCGGTTGAGAAAGAAGAGAAGTGAACTTTCAAAGTCTCTATTTCCGTTTCTACATCACACAGAAGCAACAAATACTGTGCGAGTTAGATGACTGAGCTGGGAAAAATAAGACTTCAAGAGAGTTTAATGGACCTCTTTACCAACTAATCAGAGTGAGGGGCGAGTATATAAATCCGTTTTATTTTAAAGTGTATGTCCAGCCAAATCTTTATTTATACTGCTGTCTGGGACTCCATTAGACAGATTCCCCTCACTTTCTGTTCTGTTGACAGCAGTTTTACCAGAAAAGAAGTTAGGAAAAGTCTTCACAAAAACACAGACAACAATAAAACCCATCATCAAACAGATGAGAGGAAGTGATGGGAAATCTCTGTGACAGACCCCTGAAAAGCAGGAAAGGCTAAACTTCTGGCTTACATTTTTCCCTTTTGTGTCCTCTCATGTGTTGAAACTGATTACTTTCAATTACTTGTAAATTTGCTTTTTCACAGGATAACCCTTTGAAGCTGCAGCAGCCATTTTGACCCCACCTTAAATTTCCTGTCTGAGCTACTGTACCTCCATCATTCAATAATCACTTCTCTCCTGATGTGTATTGTCATTTGCCCACTCACAGCTATTCGCTTTCTCTGCCAACAATCATTTAGTTCCTGAGCTTTACCTCCATCTCCCTGCAACCAGTCAACCTGTTGGAGTGCACAGGTAATGCCTGCAGCACCCAGTGGATAGCAGGGAGAAGGAACATCTAAGTGGATCCCAGGTATATGTTCTTTCATTTATACACCTTTCTTTCTATGCATTTTTTGTAAAAAAGAAAGGAAAGAAAAAAACTCCAGTGTTTTTGACCGGTCAGTCAAATGACTGTTAGGAATAGGCTAAGCTGTAAGACGAGTTTCAGTTTTCACCAACTTTTCTTTTAAAAGTAGAATTAAAGTCTCTTTTTTTTGGTATATATCTACTGCTAGCAAGCAGTAGATATATGTTTCATGATGTTAAAAAAATTAGGCAAATACCTAATTACTTACCTGTTGCAGCGCCGCTCTCTCCCGGCACCCAAATGGCTGTGAAGGAGGGAGTGAGCGGGCGCATACGCAGTAGATAAACACCGAAGGGTAGAGGAGAAAGCTGACAAAGAAAGTGAATGGACACAGCCGGGAGCGCGCATGCCTGACAGACACTGTGGTACATGAGGAGTCTGCACTGGATCAGAGACTGGCACCAGCGCTGGAGGAACTTGGTTAAAACACACAATTTACACAGCTCTGCCACACCACACAGCCCTGTCTGGAGAGGAGGGGGCCTAATATTTCCCTGCTGTCCTTTCACTTACCGGTCCCCTCCCTGAGAAGGAACATCTAAGTGGATCCCAGGTATATGTTCTTTCATATAACTTTAAAAAGATCAGCAGCAAAATGCTGTGATGTTTACAGAAGCCAGCCAGCCCCTCCCACCAAAGAGCAGTAGTGGTGACTTGGAAATTGGTCACAATAATTTGGCATACCTCCCAGATTTTTTTTTAGTTTGGGAGCAGGATGCGTGGCCTCATCAAATTCTTCATTGTTCGTGAAGTGGAAATACTTCATGATAAGGGAAAACCGGTATTCTGACTTTACGGTGCCAAAAAACGTAGTGGCCAGTAACTTATTGGTTGTCCAGTACCATTTCTGGAGCGGTTTCCCCACCACCCCCTGAAGAATGATGAGTCCCAGAAACTGCCAGATGTCCTCTTTGGTCACCGGTTCCCACTTTCTGCTTCTGGAAAACCTGGCATGCAGCGTAGCGGATTGCTGCTCTTGGTAGCGATTTGCCTCCGTGACAATTTTTTCAATTACCTCCTCAGTGAGGAATAATTGCAGGTATGCCAGAGGGTTGTCACGCTCAACATCTACCGTCATCCCAGGTGATCCATTGAACGGGAATCTTGGGGGCGCTACCTGGTCCGTATCGCAGTCAATAGGGTACCAAGTGCGCACATCGTAGTAAAGTGGCGCTTTTTTGATGCCATGTTGTAAATATTTTTTGAGCACAAATGACAGTAAAATGGCAGGCAAGGGGCACTGTACAGTGATCAAGTGTCAGATCTGAGGTGATACAGTGTAATCCTCTCAGATTACAATGTATCACCTCTTTTATGTGTGTGTGTCACTTTTATGTTACTTTTGAATTTCCCGCCCAGTTCTGCTCCCATGCGCCGCTGCTGCTCGCAGGGAACGGAACCAGGAAGTCAGATGCCGGCAGGCACTCTCGCCGGCGATCATAGCGGAGGACATCGCTGGATCGCCAGGAGAAGGTAAGGAGACTCCGCACAGCAATTAAGTAATACAATGAACTAGGATCACACTAATCCAGCACGTTATTATTCTGAGTTGCCCCTGTGACGACATGGTGATGATGAGTTTATAAGTTAACCTCTTGCCGTCCGCCCGTAGTAAAAAAACGGACGGACGGCACTGCTGCATTTGCGGGTTGCAATGCAGCAACCGGACGGACGGCAATTATTTTCTGCGCGCGCCCCCCTAGCGGGCACGCACGGGCAGAAAAGACCCGACGATTAAACACACCCGTTACCGGGTGTTTGACATATAGGCGATCAGCGGGACCATAGCCCGGCGATCGCCTATATGTGCTCGTTCGCGGCACATTACACTAGATCTCTGCTTCATCAGCTTCTTTTGGGGTCCATAGGTGATATTAGGGGTCCTAGAGACCCCTAATATCTCCATAAAGAGGACCTGTCAGTGTGCCTTTGCCATTATAGAGGGGGTTGTTATCCCCCTATATAATAGCAATAACAATAAGTGCAAAAAAAAAAATATAAATAAAAAAAAAGAAAAGTAACACATAAAAAAATAAAATAAAATAAAAGCCACATATAAAAAAAGGGGAAAAAACCCCCCCAAAATGTTTAACTCCCCCACCCCCACGTTTACGCGCCTATAAACGTAAATACGCGTCCGGTGCCCCAGCGCGCAAAAATTACAATTGCGCTACACATGTTACATATCGCCGCGAACGTCGCAGTGAGAGCAATCATTTTAGGGCCATCAATCACTGATAACACTAAACTGATGAGCGGTAACAGCTTTTAAAGCGTCGCCTAGGGCCAATTTTGGGTATTATCGTTTTTTGAGGTTTCGCGCGCGCACGCAATTTTAAGGCTTGACATGTTTAGTGTCTTTTTACCCGACGTGACCCCATCTTTTATATTTTACCAAAAAATTGGGTAATAATAAATGTTTTATCATTTAATATAGGGGAAACTGTTTTTTTTTTTAAATTTCGGTAATTTTTCCTTAATATAGTAAAAAAATAAAACCCCCAGTGGTGAATAAATACCACCAAAAGAAAGCTCTATCTGTCCCCAAAAAAGGGTATAAAATTCATTTCAGTACAGCGCTGCATGACGGAATAAATGTCAGTCAAAGTACCGCATCGCTGAATACTGAAAAATGGCCTGGATGGGAAGGGGGTTTAACACCGCGGATGTCAACTGGTTAAATGTGTATTGGTGTTGGTTTATGTTTAAGTGCTTTATGCTGTGTGACCTGGTTATGAAAAGACTATCAGCACCACCCTCGTTATCTCTCATTGTACTCTGAAG